ATATACGTATGTAAATCAGTATAAATTAATACATTTGCGCAGTATTTTAGAAGGTCGCGGTGTTTCGTCACAAGTATAAATAGGAAATTGGAATTGCATTCCTGATAACGCGACATACGTTTAATCGGACTTATCCATCAATCATTTATATGACACGGAAGAACGAAGAAACGAATTCTAACAATGAAGAGAAATTAGTAGAAACAAAAGTTGTTTTTTTTTAATATATATGCAGCATATATATTATATGCAGTATATATAGTGTGCATATAAAATAAAAACAGATGAGAATATTCTTCCTAAGATTTCTACGGATACTAATAAAAAACATACAAACACTAATAAAAAATCGAACGACCTGATTTAAATGAGAAACAGTCATCGATTAAGCGTCATCGGTACTAATACCACTACAAACGTAGATGCTTGGATAATCGATGATCTTATCGATTTGTTAAATGTGAAAAAGAGAGAAAAAAAATAGAAAGCTGAGATGCCAGTGTTCCGGGAAAGCGTTAACGCGGTAAAAATTCGACGAACAACACCGCGTGTGAATTTACCATGCCGGAGAAAGTGAAAGGTAAAATGAAAAAAGTAAGTCGCCTGCGCCGAAGAAATATATGTGTATATATGTGTATATATCGCGCGCGCGCGCGCGCGTGTGTACTGTGTGTGTTATCGGGTTTTATTACGCACATCATACGACAGCGATTGCAAATGAATCGAGCATTATCGATACTGGCAATTTCGTAAATCGGTAACATGCGACGATAGGATCACGTGATGGATCAACATTGTTGAATTCTTTAAGCTTCCTCTTTAAGCAGTATTTGATATTTAGTCGTTCATGATTAGTTCTTGGACGCTGGTGTTCTCTCACAAAAATAATAATTCAGTAATAATTCAAGTAGATCTTCAATATGCTCCTCTCTCAGCAGTACATATCTTCAGAAAAGCATTCAATAAAACAAAGATCTAAGGAAAGGATCTTTTTGCTCTAAGTCGTCGTTGATCACAAATTCTAGTCGGCGTTTTTGTACCAGACATTACATATAACAGGCGTTATTTATGGGACATTTTAATTCCCAATCTACATGGATTAATAATTAGTAATTTTTTTTAATGGTAATTTATATAACACTATTTGCATCACGATCGACATACATGAACAGACATTATTAATATAGGGCATTATAACCTGCTTTATTTTGAAATAATTTACTGTTGACAAATGAATGTCAATCTACCATTTTTATATATTATTCAAACAACTTAACAGCAAATAAAATGGTAGTATAAAAAAACCTTGGCGATTGTAGCCAAACAAGCTTGGAATTAAAAAATGTATATCCATGTACAAAACACACAGAAATATCTACGATATATGTATGTACATTTTTAAAAAATATTGAAGATATACATGTACATTTGCATAAGAACAGTATTAACAATATTAATTAATTAACTTAAAAAAATTAATTATACTTTAAAAAAGGAAAACAACAGAAGAACTATACCGACAAAACTACCGTTATCACATTCCAGGGACTTTTTTTTTTCTTTTCCACGGTTTCTCTTGATCTTCCGCACACTAGCCTACTGCATACATACATATATAATAAATACCACCTGTTGAAACACAACTAAACACTTACCTGAGAAATTGCTCTCGAACGAGTGGGAGTTTAATTGAAGAATTTTTTTCCGTCTGCAGTCTCTACTAGAAAATCTCGTTCTGGTACAAAATTAAGGAAGACACGTGACAACACTATTTTGTCAATTCCGTTTTCTCGTCCTGTGCGTTGCACTTGCGCAAACACAATGGTATCCGCACTGGATTCACCACCAATCGAAATTCATATATATGAGGAAGGTACATGCGTGTCAGACGCCACGACATTGAATACATGAAACGACGTTTTTCTGTCTAATCGTTCCGTCGACTCTGTCAGTGCAGAACAGTTCATTTTCCGGTCACGGCGAAGTATCCGAGTTGATCCAAGCCCAACGAGGACAGAGAAACACGAACAAGAAAGAAAAATTGTTGGATGAATCCACTTGAGAACGTGACGTGCCGGAAGGTTATTTTACGCGCGGGATATTTAAACGGCACTACGAGGAGCAAATCTGTTTTTCGATTCGACGTTTTTCATTCGATTTTTTTAAACGTTCCTCTTTCTGATTAAAAAAAGGAGAAAGAAGAAACGATAATAGGATGATGTTGATAACGACAAATATATAAGAAGACACTGATTTGAATAAACTTACGTCGTCATGTCAAAGATTAAATGAGGGACGGGCTTTATTTTAATCGAAATCTTATTGTTAGTATATTTAATGCGTCCATTGTTTAATTAGAAAATATTATTCACGTTGAACAATCGGCGCACGTGTTTCTTCTTTTCCTTTTCGTTTGGAGTCTTTCTTTCTGACCATCCAAAGCTGAAATAAATATGTATCTCATAATATTTAATTTAATGAACAAGAATCATTTGCAGAAAAGTTTAATGCTCGCACTTATCAAATTCGAGCCAATGTTAATTAATTCCGGTTTCACATTCTGCAGTTCATGGAGAATCATGGAATGAAAAGACAACACGGCAGCTCTTGTGAATAGTTCCGACACACCATCTCCGGTTCTAGAGGAAACAGCCCAAAATTCAGCTTTCATTTTCCTCGCTACTTCGGCTGCACGTTTCTCCATTATTTTATATACCTGACTAGACTGGAAACATATTTTCACCTGTTATATTTTAATTATAGCTACGAGACAAAATAAAAACACAACGCGAACAACATTACGAATTTAGTTCTCCTTATTTTCAACTTTCGTATACGTCAGCAAATTTCTCGCGATTTACCAATAAATCTCGCTTTGTTCCTATTAAAAATATATAATACGGTTCGGTGTTACTTTGAGCTGCTTCGTTTAACCATTGTTGACAGTGTCCTAAGGATGTCAAGTTAGCCATGTCAAAAACAACCATGATCACTGAAATAAAAACGTATTGATACGAAACTAAAATTTGATAAAATTCAATGTACATTTGCGACAAAGTTTTTTTTTTTTTTTATACCGTTCGCACTTCTATAATAAGATGCAGCTATCGATTTAAATCTTTCTTGCCCTGCAGTATCCCATCTGAAATAAACAAAATAAACAATAGAACCTTCATTCTTCGTTCTTTCTTCAAGTTTCTTGCACTAATTTATACATAGGACAGACATTTGAAAATGAAATGGTACGCCGAGAATATCAAATCTTTCGACTTCGAAGTCCACGCCAATCGTTGCCTTGTAGTTGTTGTCAAATATTTTATGGCAGAATCTGGAAAAAACAAACAAATTGTATATATATATTTATTATATATATATAATTATATATATATTAAATTATAATTATATATATTATTATATATATATTTATTATATATATTATATATATAATATATATATTTATTTATTACATATATATATGTTATATACATATTTATTATATATATTATATATACATAATTATATATATATACAAAACTCAAAATAAAAAAGACTATGATATCAATAAATTGTATAATGAATTTATGATAACAATAAATTGTAGAATGAATAAATTACTATATTATTATAACAATTTTCCATATTATAATTTTTATTATTAAAATTATTATAATTTTAATAATTTTATTCTATCTATGACACGGTCTAATTACCGATTTACTAGACACGATTTTCCAACTGAAATGTCTCCGATCACTATTGCCTTCGCAATTTTTAAAGTCACACGTTTCGTTTTGCACGAATGTCTGACAATTGGCTCAAAGTCTCTCTCGCAATATTCTGTCATATTGGACGAGAACGGTGACGGCCAATTTTCAATCTGGAAAAAATCTTCATTTTGTTACTCTAGTAATATCGATACGTTTAATTTATTTTGCACCTTTTCTATATTTTGAGTTATTATTTTGCGTACTGCAAAAAGCATCAAATTAACTTCCGGAGAACCTACTTCTGTTATTTCTATCGCGGTTCGAAGAAGAATCGACGAAATCGCTAAATCGAATTTCAAGTTCAAGATTTGACTTTCACCGGAT